TTACCATGAATTCCTCGGTGGTGGGGGGACAAAGGGTGCTCTTACATACATGGCGGAAATCAAAATGGTGTCTATCTTCGATATGCATAAAGCAAACACACCAGGACGACGTTCTAATGTAAATAAGCAAAGATATGCATGTGCTGTCTTTATATACGGGCAGACTTTACCGAGATTATGTGCAATATAAGCGTAATAGAACGTCCTTCCTCGAAAACTATTGGATAACCATTCTGATCTGTAATGCGCACCCCCACAGAATTTAATGTCTTATTTAAGAGCTGTTTATAAAGCGTGGGTGTATACCCCTTTGTACTCGAACCTTGCAAAGCAAATGCGTCTAAGATGTTTACCTGCTGTCCTGCAAATCGACAAGGAACAACAATGTCTGAATACACATAAATAAAGTCCACACCGCCATCGTTTCTCGGAGGCCTCATACTTACATTCTGATTATATAATAACCATTTATAATCAACAGACACTGTGCGAGGTACATAATAGCGATATTTTTTTTTTCGCTAAACCCTAATATGTGCGCCAGACGAGGCGAGAAGCGAACAGCCATATCGGGATGACAGCGTGCTTCCCTCCCATCGCCAACCGCGTGAACGATAATTTCTACGCGAACGCGCTCTGTTTCCCAGTCATAGATAAGAAGTCTCCCCTGTGGCATATATTTTTGAATTGCATCCACGCCTAATATCGGCGCAATTTGTTCCGTTATATCTTTATTAATCATATCTATCATAATTTTTGGTTCTCTCGCATGACCTAGCATGCTAAATTTCGGGACGTACTTAAACATGTCAATCATAATTGGGTGAGCACTGTTATCACAAACACTAATAAACTGAATACTAAAATCATTATCATTTGCTATGATGCTGTAGTAATTTTTGGGATGCAAAAAATTAACCAGCGCCACCTCATAATCCATGGAAGGATCCAACATTAGCGGCGAAATGACGTTTTCAAACGCATAAGAAGTGTTGTGCGGGAAAACATCTTTCGATGCAGTACTGGTAATGTATATGTACTGATTGTCAGTCTCCATGGTGGAAGTTGATGACAGACTGAGAGTTGCATCAATAATTTCACCCTTTATAACAAAGATGTAAAGGATAATAAGACTTAAGGAGTAATTCATAACCTTATTTTATTAAAGATATCATATATATATATATAAATCAAACAAGTACAAATGCTACTGGAGAACATGATATTTAATGATCATTTTCCAGCTGCCTCGGTAGCTTCGATGTCCGCCGCTGTTCGCAGGTAATTTCACCGTCCTCCGCATCATCTTCATTATACCTGGGTCGTTTGTTTCTAATGTTCGGCTCAGGCAAAAGGAGAGGACTCGCGCACAGCAGCGAAACAGATATCTTCAAAGGCATACACCGCGCTGCAAAGTCTTGTAAAAGCTCAATGTATGCATGGCTCCAACTGCCTCCTTCCACTTCAACTGGAAATAAGATCTCCCAATATTCAACTCTTGAAGCTGATTAAACAATGAATCGAGACATTCACCCAAATTTCTTAGTCGGTTTTCCGATCCGTCACACGCCAATCCATCAACATAATGTCTATCCATACTCGACTTTAATTGTTTCATGGCAATTTCATTATTTTCCAGGGCTCTCCCGGGACCAAAGTGGGCAACGAGATAGATAATTACAGGCCCATCTCCCTGTTTCACACTAACGACCCCGGTAGCACATCTGTCAGCTACAATAGCCCTTGAGGTAGAAAATAACCGCCTTTTTGATCTGTAGTAATCAGCATATGCATATTCTTTTTCCAATATGCCCGATGTAGCGTAAGCAGTCTTTCCACATGCATTAGCAATGACGCATACGGCGGTGTCTTTACACAGCTCATGCTGGAGAATACCTCCTTTTCTAATCAACAGGGGGTATAGATAATTCGGGAGATAATCCTCGCGAGGTGACCTCGCACTGACAGAGGGGCTTCCATTAGCGGTCGTTCTTCTTCCCATCTCTTCATTAATCATCTCTCTGTAGCGCCTGACAAATTGAGGAACGGCAACAACAGTAGCAGGGCGCTGACGTGGAGACACTTCCTCGGCCATCTTCTTGCGCAATCGAGGCAGTAGTATAACTCATCACCGCTCGTATCCTCGCTTTATACCCATAGTGTCCTGTCGTTACTCGCTCATGCATGCCAGCACCCCGCCCACTTAATGCGTTACAATCATCTGCGCAGCTTTGTACACAATCGATAGCCCATTTCAAAGGCAATAGACTGTTGATTGTATAAACTGGCGAGTCTGCGATATTTTGAAATCGTGCGTAATGCTTCTTCCTGCGGGGCATGCTTTAAATTTTCTACAGCATCATCAACTTCTTGCTGGTAGACTTGTTCAGAGTGGTTTGCAAGAAAGGCTCGGTATGTCTCCACAATGACAACAAATCGTGTTTGTACTGAGCTCGATAAAATTTTATCACCTCTCTTCGAAGCTCACCTAGAACTTTGAATGATTTTTCATCGTCGCTGCTGGTGTTGCTGTTGTTGGACGCACTGCTTGTGCTCGCGCGCGAGGACGCGTTGCTGAAGAGTTCTCCGTTCTCACTCATGTTTATGTTGTTATTGCGTCTTACATACACACGCTTCTGATTATAGAATCGCCGGTTTTATCCTCTCTCGAGGCCGTTAATAGGGGTTCCAACGCATCTTACTCTGTGCAGACATAAGGGCGGACATTGGCTTAACTTTTACATTCCCACCTGCCTTATGAACACCTGTGAGATACCGCCTAGCTGCCGGACTGCGCATATAATCATATGGTAATGGCGCAAAGTTATGTAATATTTTCAAAAGTTCCTTTTCTTTTACAGAAAACGAGTGCGATGAAGGATGCAAAATACTTGATAACATCGAGTATATTTAACCCTGTTATAGGAGATTGTATCTGACCTAATTCGTCCCCGAATTAAAGACTGCTTACGGTAAAATTCCAAGAGAGATTTTGCATAATCTTGCTGATTTGTTTTGAAGAAAATTCCTACAAGTGTTCTAATGAGGGATTTATCGGTGTATTCTGATTGTTGCCAGGGATTGCTTTTTCAAGCCTTTGCAGAGCTGCAGAGGGAAGGGGTACTGTCATTGCCTCATTAGCGGCGGAACGCCTGCATTTTCTCACATTCTTTTTGTTTATTTTCTTGCGAAAAGTAGAGCGCGGGATAATGAGCGAGCGCCGAGCCCCCCCGCGTCTATTTCCCCGCAGACATCGCGACAACGCGTGCGCTCGCCGCCGCGCCCGCCGCGTCCGCCTCGCTCGCTGCACCCGCCGCCGCTATGACAGCTGTCGTTCGCGTGCCCCCCATTTATTGCGGTATTTTTAGCTGCCATGGCGATATCCGGAGGCGATTCTAATATGTTCTTGTTGACACCATCATTAATCTTGTTAGTATCATTACCGTTCGAGGTGAGGTCAGAGACCAGGTGGGTCAGATGTCGGTCGACCGTGGACTTTGGAACAAGACAATACTCTTTCATATTTCTAATCAAATTAAAGATGTAAATGCATTTACAGCAAGCGGGAGTAGAATGGATAAAATATTTCCCCCGGTGCGAGATGAGAGAATTTTTTTCTTCTTTTTAAGAGACGTTTTCTTCAGAGACACTTCCTTGATAGCTTGCCGATATCGTTTCAATTTCTTAATAATACTTTTTTCCGTGGTTAAGTTTTTCCTTAAGAAATTTGAAAAAACTTCGGCAATGCAATTGATCTGCTGTTTATCCAGCTGTAATATAAAGCGGAACGTCGTTTTGGCTTAGTGAACAGATAAACGATAGCACATCAACAAATCGAGGTGTGAGGGGCTGCCTTGTCATGGTGCAGGCTGCATGTCATCAATCGTAATGTATGAATTGAATTTGTCGGGATATCCAATCCAGCGAACAAGATATTCTCTCTGCTTTTTATTTCTGTTCCACCTCGATGACAGGATCTTGTACGGGTAAACACTTGGCAGTGATCGGGACGAGCTCCTCTCGATAAAACAAACCTTGGACTTCTTCCGCTTAAATCTTCCAGATAATACCCGACTATGTTCTGACGATTGTCAATCTGTCGAATTTTAAATATCTCCTCCGTATTTTGTATTTCATATCCCTTGCGAAATGCGTCGGTACGAGAGCGCGCTGCGATGCGCACAGTGTCCCCAACCTTTATATTCTGATTGCTAGCATGCGATCGGTCCTTTTTTATATGCACATTCAATGAACGAGCATACATTTGTCGAAAGAGACGTTGACACTGCGCCCGCGTGTAATGGCGGTGCACGTCCAGTGGCGCGGCGCCTTTCAAACCCGCGTGCGCGCGCTCATTATAGGCTAAAACAATATCCGGGAGAACGTCGATATACCTCAGCGTATCTTTTAAGGTTAAATATTATATATATGCGTTCCTTGAGGGTTCTGATGTGTCTCTCTGCAATGCTAGCCTTTATTTCCTTCGAATGCGTGGTATACCACTGCATCTTATGTTCGCGCAGTAAGCCGTTCACTGTATTATTTACAAACTCTCGCCCTGCATCGGTGAAGAGGTGAGTTAAACCTTTAGCATCCTCAGTATTTAAACACCGATTTTAGTGCGCTCGCAACCTCCGTCTTGTTTTTACTCTTTAAGGGTCTTACTTGCATATAACGACTAAACACATCTACACACACGAGCAAATAGTTGGTTTTATCGTTTTGTCTTGATAAGTTTCGCATGTCTGCCAGATCACACGTTAAGATTTTGCGAGGTCCTATAGCCATTGTTTGGCGACGCGGGAATTTTTTGCGAGTATGTCTGTGAAGAGTATACACACGCTGTGATGACAAAGCATTTTTCACATCCGATTGTGTAATATTATCCTTTCCTAATTGCGTGCGAGCGGCGTCTAACAGCGCTTGTATTCCACCTAAGCTGTGGGGCTTTGTATAGTCTTCATACAAGTCCTTTAGAACTTGCATGGTTCTGTCGGTGATCACCATTGGTAGACAAGCTGATGTGGAAAATATTCACAGAGGATATTACTGCGAAACTGCAGTTTATCTGGAGTTTCACAACCGAGGTCTATGAGTAAATAACCGCGAGATTTCGAGAGAACAACCTTTTTATATAACTCCAAAAACCGCTTGGCTTCACTCTTGCCATATAACTGCCTACCGAGGCATTCTAACTGTCCGAGATCTCTCTGTTTTAGCAAAAATAAAATGAGAGGTATTTAGTGAAATGTTGCGGCTGTGCTTCCCTTTCATAAATACATTTTGAACGAGGAGTACAACAGATATGTTTTCGTGTCGTCCCTTTGTAAAGATATTACTTACAATGTCATTATTAGCCGCTTCTATAAAGCAATCATCCAGTATATATAATATGCGGTCATTCGGTTTTGTCTTATGATTGATGGGATCTATAATGTCTTTGTTAACAATAAGTTTGTCAGATAAAGAGGTTTCCTTTTCTAGCGGATGAGATTCACTCCCGCATACAATTATACAATCAAACTGTTTCTGATAGTGCACAACAATTTTTGTGGCGAGATGCGTCTTTCCCGAATTAGTGACTCCTGCAATTATTATTCTTGCGGGGTGAGCAAAGAGATCCAGCAAGTTCTCCTTAAAACAGGAGTATGGAGTACTGTGCGACATGTTGAAGGACACAAATAAAAATGACACTTAAATTTTAGACATCGCCTATTTTATTGACTACAATATACAGAAAATATTATGTACATGTGTTAAGTATAGCCATTTTAAATAAAGTCATCATCACTATTTTCCTCTGCTTCCTCGATGAAGGGGTTCCCAGTTTGTGTTTTTCTGCGCTTTCGCGGTCTTGGGTTGCCAGATCGTTGCCTCCTGATGTTATTATTATAGTTGTTGTGTACAACAGACGGAAAGTGAAGGTGGCGGAGATACTCTCGTTTTCTCCATAGATGGCTTAATCTTTCCTCTCCTGTTGTTGTTATTGTTGTTGTTACCACGGTCTCGGCCTCCTCCTCCCCTCCTCCTCCTCCCCCTCCCCTCCTCCTTCTCGCTCTCGCTCGCGCCGGTTGCCACATCGCGCACGAATTCTCCCCTCGTTTCCTCCTCCCCTCTTCGCTCTCTGCCGCCTCGGAAAGGTGTTTAATGTCTGGATGACCATATGCTAGCGATTTATAGGCATTTACATACCAACGTTTATCATCGTATAATGACAGCCCGCGCTTTTTCATTTGCGTGGTCATCATTTGACCTCCAACGTTGGTAATGCTCACCTGTTTAAAGAAATGCACTTCTTTTTCATGAAGAATGCGACGGAAATTGTCGTGTTTTAGCCTCCTCTTCTCAGCCCGACAAATTCCCTTTGCACCCGCGGATGTTTGATCGCTATTTAGGAGCAAGGAATAAGTCTTGGGCTTTAGGCAAATTGCCTCTTTTATCGGAATCTCCCCTGTTTCAGATTTTAATAATCCAAGTTTGCCCTTGACAGACTGGTTGTATAATGGATGGTCATGGCTAAAATTAGAAGTGTCTATCCACTCTTTCAAAGGAGATAAGGACAATTCTTTATAAATGTCATCTGTCTCCACAGAGAGGATATAGCTGTCGGTGTCGGAGTAACAGAGCTGCACACGATCTCCGTAATGAGTCTTTAAAACTTTATAATAAAAGTTATACAATTTCAATTTAGCCAGCTCCAAGATGGTAAATCCAACATACTGCGGATAAGCCATACTAACAGTTTTGCCCTTGAAATGGTTATCACTCTGTTTGGAGCTAAGGGGATGAATCTTTTGAAGAATGGGCTTCGAATCTTTTTGAGAAAAGAAGAAGCATTGCACACCATGCTAGCACGTTCTAGTCTTTTTAGAGGGTTCATTAAACACCGCCCAAAGACACTGTTTGAAAGCGTCTTGAAGCACAACTGTTGTGCTTTATCGGTGGCTTCCCTGCGCGCCTTAATATTTTCGTGAATAAAAGGCGATAAAAATTCACGTTGGGAGAATTCGTACACATCGCTTACTCGCTCCACCTCCACCCCCAAGTCAATTAAAAGCTGCAAATGTTTCAGTAAAATGAGGTGGTCCTTCTGCGGAAGATGTGAAGCCACAAGCTTTTGGTTTTTGCGTGGTAAACGCCTGTTCTGCGATGCTAGAAGTTGTTTGTTATAAGGGGAAATGTCCTGATTTCTTATGTTCATGTGATGAATGAGGAGGGGCAAGTCGTCTGTCTTCCTCGCAACTTCGGGTGGAACTCTGAGATCAGCCACTACCCAGTGCCCAACATCACCGCTTTCGTCGTGGTTGGTTAACCCCGATGCAATGAACTCGGACTTTTCACGGGGCGGTAATTTCCGGATATTGCCGTATGGTAATTTCTCAGACATTACCGTGGCATACAAGCTGTTGAAATCAAGGTAAAGTATGTAGGTGCTACTTTCCTTTTGTGGGTCATGGTGCGGATTAACAAGGGAGTTCTTTGCTACCGTGAGAGGGCGAACACATGTTGTCAGTCCCCCTCTCACAGATTGCTCAATTTTGCGGGCTAATTCTGGATCGGATATAAGCTCAAGGTTTGTTTTTGTCATTTTTAGGAATGCATCGTATGCATATCCGGGAAGACTGACATAGTTAACTATATCCAGATCGTACTTTTCAGCAAGCATAGACCTCCACTCTGTAATCACATCGGCTAGCAAACCCACATCAGTCCTCAGGTAGCACTCTAAATAATCACCTAAAGTACGACACCCGGCTGCATTCCAGACTTTTAGTGCATGAGCATACTCCTCCTCCGTAACCGTCTCACCTGTGAGGAGCTATAAAACTTTTCAATAGGGGGGAGGCTGGTCTCTTCGAGCTTTTTCAGGTCATCCAAGTACTCATACGGAAAAATACCCTTTCCCGTTAGAAGCAGCGACTGAGCTTCGTCTGGCAAATGACGTAAGATATGCTTGGAATACCTGAGTGAGCGGCTGCTTTCAATATGAGTTTTGGCGAGAGAGCTTAGGCTTGCGTTCATAAAAGCTAAGCTATCGAGGAATTTCAGGTTGTTTAGTTCCACAGAGTGATATCGAAGCCCTTGCTTCGTAAGAATTTTGATTTTTGTGTTAACTTGCATTTCTTTCAGAATGAGCCCGAGGTCGTAAGAGTGATTATGAGCCAGACAGGGGATAGCTGTGCGATGATTTTTCATCTGGAGGTTACAGCGAGCAATAAGCACCAATGTAGTTCATCCGATCTTTAGTATGGTCGTGGTGTCTGTGCTTTTGTTGATGTGTGGGAAATTTTTGGTTGCACATTTCGCACATTTCGGCCTTCTTAAAAGCTTCTTCATCTTCGTTGGACATGTGGAGAGGATGATAAGGCATGTTTTTTACAATGTCCGCCCATTTGTTAGACAGATTCTCAACAAAGTGCGTGGCAGCGTCGGCACCCTGATATAGAAAACTATCTACTACTTCACCTTGTCTGTCTATTATGATATAGCTGTAGGCACAGGCTTTTGCTGTGCTATACATCTCTCCCCTCCACCAGTCTTGTCCATGAAGGCTTCAAAGTCGTAGATACACATGTGTGATGGTGCAAATGCTTTCCATAATTCACGAAGGCGAGTTTACTCCCCTGCAACGGGTAAGTGATCTTTGTTGGCATCTCACATCCTGACATGTGAGATTCGGCTGATCTCTGATCGGGAAACGAAGAGAAACATGTGCGACAAAAGTGCTTGTGAACGTTCCTGCCTCTCATGGTAAATACGTCCATGTACTTATTAAAGTCTGTTATTAGACAGGCGTGCTCATTTTTAAGAAGAAGTAGGTGAAGACGCAGTCGCTCCTTGATGTCTTCTCTTCCTTTTCTCACCTGTAATATGGCATATTTTTCGTGAAATATGTTCGTTTTTTCAAGGGTATAGACATAAATAGAGAGACTATTGTCTCTCTCTAATTCTCCCAATGTTTCCCAGCTGGTGGGGAGTTTTTTCCGCGTGTTTAATAAGGCGCGCACATTTAGCCGGAGTGTTGACTGCTCTGTGTAGATTATTTTTGAGCGTCCAGCTGCTAGCCATTTTCCGGCCGCGAGGGATCGTATGACACAGTCTGTGTTACCTGTTGGGTTGAAGATATAATGACCCCCTCGAACATCTTCAGGATGCCACATGTCGTCCAATTGCTTGGGGAACTAGAAGATGTGATATCGTAATGTCGTGAGCATTAATGGATTCAAGATCGAGTCCGCTTCCCTCATCTGATAACCACTTTCTAGTTTAGCTTCTGCTTCCTCTGCCCATCCGCATACAGCTTCTCTACACTCGTCTTCGCTAGATATTGCATAACTGCACAGTGTGATATCTTTTTCAATATGCGTGACATTGCCGGTAGTGAAGTCTATCTTGGAGAGGGTAATATTAAACCCTGTAAATGATTTCGTGGAAGGGGAGGGCATCCGAGTGTGGAGCGGTGAATTTGTAAGACATCTGTAAAATAATCTTGATTTCTGCGCAGGTAATCAGACGGAGATGGCTGGTCTTGGTTAGGAATGCTGAAGCCGAGCCTTACGGCTGCCCCTTGAAATAATTCCCCCCTGGAGATAATATGCGGCGTCTCTACAATATTATCTTTCTTCTTCTTTATCACTAATAACATCACTGTCACTTTCATAATATTTTCTATTCACACGAGCACGCGATATTTCCGGTTGTGCTGTAATAGACCTGGACGGTCCGGGTTGGGGCGAGAGAATCCGCGATGGTCCCGGTTGCGGTGTAATAGACCTGGACGGACCGGGTAGGGGTGAGAGGGGCGAGTCGAGACTTGTTGTATGGGAAGGTCCTGCTGTAGGTTCCCTGCAAGACATAACATAAACACAGTTATTACACAATAATGCGAGGAGGGGTTATACAACATTCACTCCTCAAACCGTCTTTGTGAGAACTTGCCTGGTGTGGTATGTGACGATCGGTGAGTGGCGATCTTAGAACCTTTAGACCCCTTTCCAGCACCTGCTGTAAGGAATTAAGTATATGGTTAATCATTTGCCGCATGGGCAGACGTCTTTCAGGCGTATTCTGCTGTAGGTCTTAACTATCTTTCAATAATTTTCATGTCTACCCATACTTTAATACTCAGATTTCACTGTGTATGAATTAGCTTACCTCGAATGCATTGTTGACGGTGGTAATGCAGCCTTGCTGAGGGAATGTGTTGGTTGCAACCTGACACAGCAAGCAAAGGTGGTTGTTGGACAGCTTCTTTCCACAGAGCTGGCAGTGAAGCTTGATGTTAGCCATTGTGAGTGCTATCACAGGGGAAGGCAAGATGTACTAATGTTTAGTGGTCGAGTTTCCACCCTTTTTATATCGCGGGGAATGCCGACGGGCGACAGATGTGTGCATTTCTATTTGACGTTTTATAATGAATTCTATTAAATCATTTTGTGTTTATACAAGAGGAATATAAAAAAAATGATAATTAGTATAGAGGTGTTTATAATCTTTTTCATTAAATTTAGATTCGTATATCTAAGATGCTTTGAGAGTGCTGAAACACAGCAAGGAAGGAAAAGTAATTATTTAATCGATATCTCCCAGACTCTGCAGTTGACCTGACATCTGTTCAGGATGCAGCTGACCTGTGTTTGAGCAGGCCTTCCTTTAATTATTAACGGTCGTCATTAGTGAAAGGGGTGATCAGTGAGACGCTTCTTAACTATCACTAGCTAGAGGGCTTTTAATGATGGGAAAATAAAGACATATTGAGTACAACGAATTTTATACTCCTTTCCGCTGAACTCTATACTTATAAACGAGGTGCTTTTCGATTGTGGGGAACAAACTGTGAATATCTGATTAATTAGTGTCTGTGCCTGACTTCTGAGGGGATAACTTTATTATTGAGATGTTTTAAGACAATGTAGGCCATCCCACATTCAAACATGACGAATAGATGCTGTTATTGATTTCGCTGACCTGACTCACATCGGTAATGGCTTAATTTTGCGCGTGACCTGGAGGGCGGTGGGAATGAAGGGGTGGGGGACTTGGGTGGTTGGGGGACACCTGTTTGGTGTGCGTATTATTCCCATTAGCCACGGTTATTGATTTCCCGTAATCAATTATGATAATTACTTCCGGAAGTCATTAGGTCACTTCCTGTTATGACACGTCAGGTATGTGCATAGCGGGATAAGAGGGTAGTCATAGGGTGAGGCTGGTGAGTCCAAGGTGTTTTTGGGTGAGGGGGTTGGGGTGGTGGAACCTGTGACACCTGCTCTTAGGATGATAGTTTGACCTGCGGCAGCAGGATCCATGTTTGTTTGTGTTCCTCTTCTTCCTCTTCTTCTTCTTCTTCTTCTTCTTCTTCCTCTTTCTCGTATTCTCCTTATTATTATTATTATTATTATTGTTTTGGAGAGGAAAGGAAGGGGGGCACCCCTTCAGGTGTGCGTGTTCTCCATCATTAGTTACGGTTATTGATTCCCGTATCGATTACGGTAATTACTTCCGGAAGTCATTAGGGCACTTCCTGTTATGACACGTTAGGTACATAGGGGGGACCCATGGGGGTGAGGCTGCTGTGTCCAAGGTGTTTTGGGTGAGGGGTTGGGGTATTGGAACCTGTGACACCTGCTCTTAGGATGATAGTTTGACCTGCGGCAACAGGATCCATGTTTGTTTGTTGTTTTCTTCTCTTCTTCTTCCTCTTCTTCTTCTTCCTCTTTCTCGTATTCTCATTATTATTATTGTTGTTTTGGAGAGGAAAGGGAGGGGGGGCACCCCTTCAGGTGTGCGTGTTCTCCATCATTAGTCAAGGTTACTGATTTCCCGTAATCGATTACGGTAATTACTTCCGGAAGTCATTAGGTCACTTCCTGTTATGACACGTTAGGTACATAGGGGGGGACCCATGGGGGTGAGGCTGCTGTGTCCAAGGTGTTTTTGGGTGAGGGGTTGGGGTATTGGAACCTGTGACACCTGCTCTTAGGATGATAGTTTGACCTGCGGCAACAGGATCCATGTTTGTTTGTTGTTCCTCTTCTTCTTCTTCCTCTTCTTCTTCTTCCTCTTTCTCGTATTCTCATTATTATTATTGTTGTTTTGGAGAGGAAAGGGAGGGGGGGCACCCCTTCAGGTGTGCGTGTTCTCCATCATTAGTCAAGGTTACTGATTTCCCGTAATCGATTACGGTAATTACTTCCGGAAGTCATTAGGTCACTTCCTGTTATGACACGTTAGGTACATAGGGGGGGACCCATGGGGGTGAGGCTATTCTGTCCATACAAGAACTACTATATATATATATATATATATATATTATAATATATATAAATATATATATATGTATATATATCTTTCTCCCTCCCTCCCTCCAATCTCCTCCTCCCTCTCTCTCTCTCTCTCTCTCTCTCTCTCTCTCTCTCTCTCTCTCTCTCTCTCTCTCTCTCTCTCTCTCTCTCTCTCTCTCTCTCTCTCTCTCTCTCTCTCTCTAATGCACACACACAAGAATTAGATGAACAAACATGAAGTTAAAGATAAATACACGGAAAAGAGAAAACACACAACGTGAAAAATATCAGTTTGCCCGCCAGTACCTTACTCAATTAATCAGAGCTTTAGAAATGATTTTTTCAGATTCGGTTTGAATTATTCAAAATTGTCTGCCGCGTCAACAGCTGAGGTCATTAGCGGCGAATACTTTATGAAAGTCAGAACAATAAAGTTTTCAAACCTACTAAAGCCGATGATCTAACCGTCATCCAACGACTGAAAAAAACGAAAACCTGGAAAATGTCGATCAGTTTTTTTCCCTCTGAGTTCCAAATGACAATTTTCTTTGAACTTTGGAGTGCACTTTTTTTCGTTACAGGTTAAGGTCAGAGGTGTCTTTCTGACGAGGGACATGAAGAACATATAATTGCGTGCGAGAATGACCTCTCCAGGGTGCCCTCGACCGTCAGCTGTTTCAAAGACGCCATTCAGAAAAGCCCAAGGTCAGGCCAAAGCCATTCGAAGACAGTTGAATGCCAGCATCGAAAATAACGGCCTGTGACCTGATTTTAAATTCTTACATGGCAACCTTGCAGATTTGATTTCATTAACGAATAAACAGAAGAGGCTGAACACAGATAACTTTTATAATTATACATTTACACATGCTTTTGCATTTTCTTTACTGTCCGTTCAATTACTGAATTTTC